CCATAGTTAAGAACAGTTGCCACCAGCGTTAAGAACAGTTGCCACCAGACTTAAGAACAGTTGCCGCCAGAGTTAAGAACAGTGGCGGCCAGAGTTAAGAACAGTGGTTGCCAGAGTTAAGAACAGTGGCGGCCAGAGTTAAGAACAGTGGCCACTTGGGTCAGGAACAGTTGCCGCCAGAGTTAAGAACAGTGGCCACTTGGGTCAGGAACAGTTGCTGCCAGAGTTAAGAACAGTGGCCACCAGAGTTAAGAACAGTTGCCGCCAGAGTTAAGAACAGTGGCCACTAGGGTCAGGAACAGTTGCCGCCAGAGTTAAGAACAGTGGCGGCCAGAGTTAAGAACAGTGGCCGCCAGAGTTAAGAACAGTGGCCGCCAGAGTTAAGAACAGTTGCCACCAGAGTTAAGAACAGTTGCCGCCAGAGTTAAAATCAGTGGCGGCCAGAGTTAAGAACAGTGGTTGCCAGAGTTAAGAACAGTGACCACCAGAGTTAAGAACAGTGGCCACCAGAGTTAAGAACAGTTGCCGCCAGAGTTAAGAACAGTGGCCACCAGAGTTAAGAACAGTGGCCACCAGAGTTAAGAACAGTGGCCGCCAGAGTTAAGAACAGTGGCCGCCAGAGTTAAGATCAGTGGCCGCCAGAGTTAAGAACAGTGGCCACCATAGTTCAGAAAAGTGGTTGCCTGAGTAAAGAACAGTGGCCGCCAGAATTAAGAACAGTGGCCGCCAGAGTTAAGAATAGTTGCCGAAAGAGTTAAGAACAGTGGCCGCCAGATTGAAGAACATTGGCCACCAGAGTTAAGAACATTGGCCACCAGAGTTAAGAACAGTCGCCGCCAGAGTTATGATTAGTGGCTGCCAGAGTTAAGAACATTGGCCGCCAGAGTGAAGAACATTGCCCACCAGAGTTAAGAACATTGGGCACCAGAGTTATGAACAGTGGCCGCCAGAGTGAATTGTTAAATACGTGCGCCTTCAATTATTGTCAGGACAGTCAAAAGAGTGTACACTTTTTCGATCTTACCGCGTAGGCGCGCGAACCCCTGAAAGCCCATAGGGTATGATTTTTTTTTTGAACGCCTAGAGCGTGAAAGTGATAAATTATTAAGAACAGTGGTGGCCAGAGTTAAGAACAGTGGTGACCAGAGCTAAGAACAGTGGTGGCCAGAGTTAAGAACAGTGGTGACCAGAGCTAAGAACAGTGGTGGCCAGAGTTAAGAACAGTGGTGACCAGAGCTAAGAACAGTGGTGGCCAGAGTTAAGAACAGTGGTGGCCAGAGTTAAGAACAGTGGTGACCAGAGCTAAGAACAGTGGTGGCCAGAGTTAAGAACAGTGGCGGCCAGAGTTAAGAACAGTGGCGGCCAGAGTTAAGAACAGTGGTGGCCAGAGTTAAGAACAGTGGTGGCCAGAGTTAAGAACAGTGGCGGCCAGAGTTAAGAACAGTGGCGGCCAGAGTTAAGAACAGTGGCGGCCAGAGTTAAGAACAGTGGTGGCCAGAGTTAAGAACAGTGGCGGCCAGAGTTAAGAACAGTGGCGGCCAGAGTTAAGAACAGTGGCGGCCAGAGTTAAGAACAGTGGCGGCCAGAGTTAAGAACAGTGGCGGCCAGAGTTAAGAACAGTGGTGGCCAGAGTTAAGAACAGTGGCGGCCAGAGTTAAGAACAGTGGCGGCCAGAGTTAAGAACAGTGGCGGCAGAGTGTGGTGGCCAGAGTTAAGAACAGTGGCGGCCAGAGTTAAGAACAGTGGCGGCCAGAGTTAAGAACAGTGGCGGCCAGAGTTAAGAACAGTGGCGGCCAGAGTTAAGAACAGTGGTGGCCAGAGTTAAGAACAGTGGCGGCCAGAGTTAATGGCGGCCAAAGAACAGTGGCGGCCAGAGTTAAGAACAGTGGCGGCCAGAGTTAAGAACAGTGGCGGCCAGAGTTAAGAACAGTGGCGGCCAGAGTTAAGAACAGTGGCGGCCAGAGTTAAGAACAGTGGCGGCCAGAGTTAAGAACAGTGGCGGCCAGAGTAAGAACAGTGGCGGCCAGAGTTAAGAACAGTGGTGGCCAGAGTTAAGAACAGTGGTGGCCAGAGTTAAGAACAGTTGCGGCCAGAGTTAAGAACAGTGGTGGCCAGAGTTAAGAACAGTGGCGGCCAGAGTTAAGAACAGTGGCGGCCAGAGTTAAGAACAGTGGCGGCCAGAGTTAAGAACAGTGGCAGCCAGAGTTAAGAACAGTGGCCAGAGTTAAGAACAGTGGCAGCCAGAGTTAAGAACAGTGGTGGCCAGAGTTAAGAACAGTGGCAGCCAGAGTTAAGAACAGTGGCGGCCAGAGTTAAGAACAGTGGCCGCCAGAGTTAAGAACAGTGGCCGCCAGAGTTAAGAACAGTGGCCGCCAGAGTTAAGAACAGTGGCCGCCAGAGTTAAGAACAGTGGCCGCCAGAGTTAAGAACAGTGGCCGCCAGAGTTAAGAACAGTGGCCGCCAGAGTTAAGAACAGTGGCTCCAATAGTTAAGAACATTAGCCGCCAGAGTTAAGAACAGTGGCCGCCAGAGTTATGAACAGTGGGTACCAGAGTTAAGAACAGTGGCCGCCAGAGTTAAGAATAGTGGCCGCCAGAGTTAAGAACAGTGGCTCCAATAGTTAAGAACATTAGCCGCCACAGTTAAGAACAGTGGCCGCCAGAGTTAAGAACAGTGGCCGCCAGAGTTAAGAACAGTGGCCGCCGGAGTTAAGAACAGTGGCCGCCAGAGTTAAGAACAGTGGCTGCCAGAGTTAAGAACAGTGGCTGCCAGAGTTAGGAACAGTGGTCGCCAGAGTAAAGAACAGTGGCTGCCTGAATTAAGAACAGTGGCTGCCAGAGTTAAGAACAGTTGCCGCCAGAGTTAAGAACAGTGGCCGCCAGAGTTAAGAACAGTTACTGCCAGAGTTAAAAACAGTGGCCGCCAGAGTTAAGAACTGTGGCCCCAGAGTTAAGAACAGTGGCTGCCAGAGCTAAGAACAGTTACCACCAGAGTTAAGAACAGTGGCTGCAAGTGTTAAGAACAGTTGCTGCCTGAGTTAAGAACAGTTGCCACCAGAGTTAAGAACAGTTGCCGCCGGAGTTAAGAACAGTGGCTGCCAGAGTTAAGAACAGTGGCCGCCAGAGGAAAGAACAGTGGCTGCCGGAGTTAAGAACAGTTGCCGCCAGAGTTAAGAACAGTGGCCGCCAGAGTTAAGAACAGTGGCTGCCAGAGTTAAGAACAGTAGCAGCCAGAGTTAAGATCAGTGGCCGCCCCAGTTAAACACAGTGGCTGCCAGAGCTAAGAACAGTTACCGCCAGAGTTAAGAACAGTGGCTGCCAGAGTTAAGAGCAGTTGCTGCTAAAGTTAAGAACAGTTGCCACCAGAGTTAAGAACAGTTGCCGCCAGAGTTAAGAACAGTGGCGGCCAGAGTTAAGAACAGATTACGCCAGAGTGAAGAACAGTGACTGACAGAGTTAAGAACAGTTGCCGCCAGAGTTAAGAACAGTGGCGGCCAGAGTTAAGAACAGTTGCCGCCAGAGTTAAGAACAGTGGCGGCCAGAGTTAAGAACAGTTGCCGCCAGAGTTAAGAACAGTGGCGGCCAGAGTTAAGAACAGTTGCCGCCAGAGTTAAGAACAGTGGCGGCCAGAGTTAAGAACAGTTGCCGCCAGAGTTAAGATCTGTTGCCGCCAGAGTTAAGAACAGTGGCGGCCAGAGTTAAGATCATTTGCCGCCAGAGTTAAGAACAGTGGCGGCCAGAGTTAAGAACAGTTGCCGCCAGAGTTAAGAACAGTGGCGGCCAGAGTTATGAGAGTTAAGAACAGTGGCGGCCAGAGTTAAGAAGTGGCGGCCAGAGTTAAAAACAGTGGCGGCCAGAGTTAAGAACAGTGGCGGCCAGAGTTAAGAACAGTGGCGGCCAGAGTTAAGAACAGTGGCGGCCAGAGTTAAGAACAGTGGCGGCCAGAGTTAAGAACAGTGGTGGCCAGAGTTAAGAACAGTGGCGGCCAGAGTTAAGAACAGTGGCGGCCAGAGGTAAGAACAGTGGCGGCCAGAGTTAAGAACAGTGGCGGCCAGAGTTAAGAACAGTGGCGGGCAGAGTTAAGAACAGTGGTGGCCAGAGTTAAGAACAGTGGCGGTCAGAGTTAAGAACAGTTACTGCCAGAGTTAAAAACAGTGGCGGCCAGAGTTAAGAACAGTGGCTGACCGATTTAAGAACAGGGTCCGCCAGAGTTAAGAACAGTTACCGCCAGAGTTAAGAACAGTGGCTGACAGAGTTAAGAACAGTTGTTGCCTGAGTTAAGAACAGTTGCCACCAGAGTTAAGATCAGTGGCCGCCCCAGTTAAGAACAGTGGCTGCCAGAGTTAAGAACAGTTGCCGCCAGAGTTAAGAACAGTTGCCGCCAGAGTTAAGAACAGTGGCTGCCAGAGTTAAGAACAGTGGCTGCCAGAGTTAAGAACAGTGGCCGCTAGAGGAAAGAACAGTTGCCACCAGAGTTAAGAACAGTGGCTGCCAGAGTTAAGAACAGTTGCCGCCAGAGTTAAGAACAGTGGCGGCCAGAGTTAAGAACAGTTGCCGCCAGAGTTAAGAACAGTGGGTGCCAGAGTTAAGAACAGTGGCGGCCAGAGTTAAGAACAGTGGCGGCCAGAGTTAAGAACAGTGGGTGCCAGAGTTAAGAACAGTGGGTGCCAGAGTTAAGAACAGTGGCGGCTAGAGTTAAGAACAGTGGCGGCCAGAGTTAAGAACAGTTGCCGCCAGAGTTAAGAACAGTGGGTGCCAGAGTTAAGAACAGTGGTGGCCAGAGTTAAGAACAGTGGCGGCCAGAGTTAAGAACAGTTGCCGCCAGAGTTAAGAACAGTGGCCGCCAGAGTTAAGAACAGTGGTGGCCAGAGTTAAGAACAGTGGCGGCCAGAGTTAAGAACAGTTGCCGCCAGAGTTAAGAACAGTGGCGGCCAGAGTTAAGAACAGTGGCGGCCAGAGTGTGCTGGTGTTGGTCGTTGATTCTTCCGCAAGAGTACTTACCACTAGGAGCAGCGTGGGTGTCCCAGCAGCTGGGTGGGGGCGAGGCAGCGTGGGTGTCCCAGCAGCAGGGTGGGGGCGAGGCAGCGTGGGTGTCCCAGCAGCAGGGTGGGGGCGAGGCAGCGTGGGTGTCCCAGCAGCAGGGTGGGGGCGAGGCAGCGTGGGTGTCCCAGCAGCAGGGTGGGGGCGAGGCAGCGTGGGTGTCCCAGCAGCAGGGTGGGGGCGAGGCAGCTTCCTCAGCCACCACTCCACACGGTCACGACCCGCCAGCCTCGTCATGTCCAGAGGTGTGTCTCCCTGTATGTTCCTGGCGCGAGGGTCGAGGCCGGCCGCCACCAAGCACTGTGTTGCCTCCAGACCTCCGCCCCTCGCTGCCTGGTGTAGTGCTGTCTCCCCGATCTTGTCTACAGCGTGACGGTCACACCCGGCAGCTGTCAGCAACACCTGCACAACACCTGTGTGGTTACCTACGGCAGCAAGGTGCAGTGGTGACCGACCAGAGGCGTCCCGAGAGTCAGGGTCAGCGCCGGCACCAAGTAGCGTCACCACACACGACTTATGACCATGCTGCGCTGCCTCATGTAGTGCGGTCACACCTGTAACACCGGTTATGTTGAGGCTTACATACAACATACACAAACATGCTTAATTAAACTCTTCATAATACAACATACTGCAGCATGTGTTGTGGTTCTCACCATTACGACCCCTGGCTCGCAGGTGAGCCTGGGCGCTGAGCAGCTGCCTCACCACCTGGTCATGACCGCTGCTAGCCGCGCAGTGTAAAGGTGTGTTGGAGGACACCACTGAACCCTCCACGGGGAGTCCCGCCGCCAGCAGGTGAGGCACCAGGTGAGTGTGACCCCTCGCAGCCGCCACGCTCAACATGCAGAGTGGCACTTGGGTAAGAGGCCCCACCACCGTGACGGAGGTGTCAGCACCCAGGGCGAGGGCGGCCAACACCTGCACCTGGTCACCACTAACGACTCCCGCCACCAGGGCCTGCAGGATGACAGTGGTCACTGGTAACGGTGCAGGAGATAATGATGTTAACCAATTAAACACATTACCATTAACAACCTAACGACAAACTTTATGACAAGAGCCCATTACTGCAAAAATATAAAGAAATAAAGCAATACAGCCAGTAATCATCTTGACAGCCAGTTTACAGTTACATTAAATGCTCGTCCAGTCGACGACCACCTTAAGCAAAGACCACCAACCAAGTGGCCACTTTATGCATCAGACCAGTCAGGAACAGTCAGAGTTTCCACGATATATATGACCTCAGTCAACAATTTAGGGTCAGGGCTAGGACAGGAAGCCGGGGGCTTGTTATGGATCCTAATAGACTTCCTGAAGACCATTTTGAGCTTTACGGCCTCGGTGGATAGGTAGTTTCGTGTATTATTACACAAAACAACGAACAATCACCTCCAAAGTAATCATAAAACTGCTGCCTCTTGTGAAGTGGTCAGCGTTATCAGTTTATATTTGTTCAGTAATATGAGAGTCAGTGAGTCCAGCCTTAATGTTCTCTGTACACAGTTGAACAATTTCCTTACCTCCAAAGTAATCATAAAACTGCTGCCTCTTGTGAAGTGGTCAGCGTTATCAGTTTATATTTGTTCAGTAATATGAGAGTCAGTGAGTCCAGCCTTAATGTTCTCTGTACACAGTTGTTGGTGTTAAAGCTCTCAGTGTTTCCTTACATGACAGTTGACTTTGTTCTGGGATGACAGTCGCCCATGTTTGTGACGCCTTCATGCTTAGCTACTGTAGTCCAGCCGGGGCATCACATGCCTACTGTAGTCCAGCCGGGGCATGCCATGGCTACTGTAGTCATGGCGGGCCATCACATGGCTACTGTAGTCCAGGCGGGAGCATCACATGGCTACTGTAGTCCAGGCGGGGCATCTCGTGGCTACTGTACTCCAGTCGGGGCATCTCATGGCTACTGTACTCCAGTCGGGGCATCTCGTGGCTACTGTACTCCCGTCGGGGCATCTCATGGCTACTGTAGTCCAGGCAGGGCATCACATGGCTACTGTAGTCCAAGTGGGGCATCACATGGCTACTGTAGTCCAGGCGGGGCATCACATGGCTACTGTAGTCCAGGCGGGGCATCACATGGCTACTGTAGTCCAGGCGGGGCATCACATGGCTACTGAAGTCCAGGCAGGGCATCACATGGCTACTGTAGTCCAGGCGGGGCATCACATGGCTACTGTAGTCCAGGCGGGGCATCACATGGCTACTGTAGTCCAGGCGGGGCATCACATGGCTACTGTAGTCCAGGCGGGGCATCACATGGCTACTGAAGTCCAGGCAGGGCATCACATGGCTACTGTAGTCCAGGCAGGGCATCACATGGCTACTGTAGTCCAGGCGGGGCATCACATGGCTACTGTAGTCCAGGCAGGGGATCACATGGCTACTGTAGTCCAAGCGGAGCATCACATGGCTACTGTAGTCCAGGCGGGCCATCACATGGCTACTGAAGTCCAGGCAGGGCATCACATGGCTACTGTAGTCCAGGCGGGGCATCACATGGCTACTGTAGTCCAGGCAGGGCATCACATGGCTACTGTAGTCCAGGCGGGGCATCACATGGCTACTGTAGTCCAGGCGGGGCATCACATGGCTACTGTAGTCCAGGCGGGGCATCACATGGCTACTGTAGTCCAGGCAGGGCATCACATGGCTACTGTAGTCCAGGCGGGGCATCACATGGCTACTGAAGTCCAGGCAGGGCATCACATAGCTACTGTAGTCCAGGCGGGGCATCACATGGCTACTGTAGTCCAGGCGGGGCATCACATGGCTACTGTAGTCCAGGCAGGGCATCACATGGCTACTGTAGTCCAGGCGGGGCATCACATGGCTACTGTAGTCCAGGCGGGGCATCACATGGCTACTGTAGTCCAGGCGGGGCATCACATGGCTACTGTAGTCCAGGCGGGGCATCACATGGCTACTGTAGTCCAGGCGGGGCATCACATGGCTACTGTAGTCCAGGCGGAGCATCACATGGCTACTGTAGTCCAGGCGGGGCATCACATGGCTACTGTAGTCCAGGCAGGGCATCACATGGCTACTGTAGTCCAGGCGGGGCATCACATGGCTACTGTAGTCCAGGCGGGGCATCACATGGCTTCTGTAGTCCAAGTGGGGCATCACACGGCTACTGTAGTCCAGGCGGGGCATCACATGGCTACTGTAGTCCAGGCGGGGCATGACATGGCTACTGAAGTCCAGGCGGGGCATCACATGGCTACTTTAGTCCAGGCGGGGCATCACATGGCTACTGAAGTCCAGGCGGGGCATCATATGGCTACTGTAGTCCAGGCGGGGCATCACATGGCTACTGTAGTCCAGGCGGGGCATCATTTGGCGACTGAAGTCCAGGCGGGGCATCACATGGCTGCTGTAGTCCAGGCGGGGCATCACATGGCTACTGTAGTCCAGGCGGGGCATCACATGGCTGCTGTAGTCCAGGCAGGGCATCACATGGCTACTGTAGTCCAGGCAGGGCATCACATGGCTACTGTAGTCCAGGCAGGGCATCACATGGCTACTGTAGTCCAGGCGGGGCATCACATGGCTACTGTAGTCCAGGCGGGGCATCACTGTAGTAGTCCAGGCGGGGCATCACATGGCTACTGTAGTCCAGGCGGGGCATCACATGGCTGCTGTAGTCCAGGCGGGGCATCACATGGCTACTGTAGTCCAGGCGGGGCATCACATGGCTACTGTAGTCCAGGCGGGGCATCACATGGCTACTGTAGTCCAGGCGGGGCATCACATGGCTACTGTAGTCCAGGCGGGGCATCACATGGCTACTGTAGTCCAGGCGGGGCATCACATGGCTACTGTAGTCCAGGCGGGGCATCACATGGCTACTGTAGTCCAGGCGGGGCATCACATGGCTACTGTAGTCCAGGCGGGGCATCATATGGCTACTGTAGTCCAGGCGGGGCATCATATGGCTACTGTAGTCCAGGCGGGGCATCATATGGCTACTGTAGTCCAGGCGGGGCATCACATGGCTACTGTAGTCCAGGCGGGGCATCACATGGCTACTGTAGTCCAGGCGGGGCATCACATGGCTACTGTAGTCCAGGCGGAGTCCAGGCACATCACATGCTACTGTAGTCCAGGCGGGGCATCACATGGCTACTGTAGTCCAGGCAGGGCATCACATGGCTACTCCAGGCATCACATGGCTACTGTAGTCCAGGCGGGGCATCACATGGCTTCTGTAGTCCAGGCGGGGCATCACATGGCTACTGTAGTCCAGGCAGGGCATCACATGGCTACTGTAGTCCAGGCGGGGCATCATATGGCTACTGTAGTCCAGGCATCACATGGCTACTGTAGTCCAGGCGGGGCATCACATGGCTACTGTAGTCCAGGCGGGGCATCACATGGCTACTGTAGTCCAGGCGGGGCATCATATGGCTACTGTAGTCCAGGCGGGGCATCACATGGCTACTGTAGTCCAGGCGGGGCATCATATGGCTACTGTAGTCCAGGCGGGGCATCACATGGCTGCTGTAGTCCAGGCGGGGCATCACATGGCTACTGTAGTCCAGGCGGGGCATCACATGGCTACTGTAGTCCAGGCAGGGCATCACATGGCTACTGTAGTCCAGGCGGGGCATCACATGGCTACTGTAGTCCAGGCAGGGCATCACATGGCTACTGTAGTCCAGGCGGGGCATCACATGGCTACTGTAGTCCAGGCGGGGCATCACATGGCTACTGTAGTCCAGGCGGGGCATCACATGGCTACTGTAGTCCAGGCGGGGCATCATATGGCTACTGTAGTCCAGGCGGGGCATCATATGGCTACTGTAGTCCAGGCGGGGCATCACATGGCTACTGTAGTCCAGGCGGGGCATCACATGGCTACTGTAGTCCAGGCGGGGCATCATATGGCTACTGTAGTCCAGGCGGGGCATCACATGGCTACTGTAGTCCAGGCGGGGCATCACATGGCTACTGTAGTCCAGGCGGGGCATCACATGGCTACTGTAGTCCAGGCGGGGCATCACATGGCTACTGTAGTCCAGGCGGGGCATCATATGGCTACTGTAGTCCAGGCGGGCATCATATGGCTACTGTAGTCCAGGCGGGGCATCATGGCTACTGTAGTCCAGGCGGGGCATCATATGGCTACTGTAGTCCAGGCGGGGCATCATATGGCTACTGTAGTCCAGGCGGGGCATCATATGGCTACTGTAGTCCAGGCGGGGCATCATATGGCTACTGTAGTCCAGGCGGGGCATCATATGGCTACTGTAGTCCAGGCGGGGCATCACATGGCTACTGTAGTCCAGGCGGGGCATCACATGGCTACTGTAGTCCAGGCGGGGCATCACATGGCTACTGTAGTCCAGGCGGGGCATCATATGGCTACTGTAGTCCAGGCGGGGCATCACATGGCTACTGTAGTCCAGGCGGGGCATCACATGGCTACTGTAGTCCAGGCGGGGCATCACATGGCTACTGTAGTCCAGGCGGGGCATCACATGGCTACTGTAGTCCAGGCGGGGCATCATATGGCTACTGCCAGGCGGGGCATCACATGGCTACTGTAGTCCAGGCGGGGCATCACATGGCTACTGTAGTCCAGGCGGGGCATCATATGGCTACTGTAGTCCAGGCGGGGCATCATATGGCTGCTGTAGGCCAGGCGGGGCATCATATGGCTACTGTAGTCCAGGCGGGGCATCATATGGCTACTGTAGTCCAGGCGGGGTCCATCATCATGGCTACTGTAGTCCAGGCGGGGCATCACATGGCTACTGTAGTCCAGGCGGGGCATCATATGGCTACTGTAGTCCAGGCGGGGCATCATATGGCTACTGTAGTCCAGGCGGGGCATCATATGGCTACTGTAGTCCAGGCGGGGCATCATATGGCTACTGTAGTCCAGGCGGGGCATCATATGGCTACTGTAGTCCAGGCGGGGCATCATATGGCTACTGTAGTCCAGGCGGGGCATCATATGGCTACTGTAGTCCAGGCGGGGCATCACATGGCTACTGTAGTCCAGGCGGGGCATCACATGG